TATGCACAACAGAATGAAGCCCTGTCCAGTCCTGGGCCAACCCACAATCATTGCTACTTTTGAACTCATTTGAGCTCATTGCTGCTACCACTGTGGCAATCTATCCACATGTGGTGATGGCTGTGTGCTGCGGAGTGAGTTCCGACTCATAGTGACCCTGTACAAGGTTTCCGAGGCTGTAAATCTTTACGGGAGCAGAAAGCCTCATCTTTCTCCCGCGGAACAGCTGGTAGTTTCAAACAGCTGACCTTAAGGTTCGCAGCCTGATTTGTAACCACTACGCTACCAGAGCTCCTTATAAATAAAACTATAAAAGTTTTTAGACCTCGGATGGTGACAAAACCTGACATGAACTCAACTTGAGACTTTTATACTTTTTATTTCTACAAGTATAAAAGCCTCAAGTTGAGTTCATGTCAGGTTTTGTCACCATCTAAGTTCTAAAAACTTTCAGGTTTTTGGATGTCAGAAATTGTGGGGAATATACTACACATGTGTTACCACTATTCAATCTTGCACCCAATGGGTGTTAAGTGCCGTCGAGTATTTTCCAACCCCTTAGTGACTCTGTATAGGGTTTCTAAGGAGTGGCTGGTGAGCTTGAACCACTGACGTTTCCGTTAAGCATTACTAACTGATCACAGTACTCTCAGTGCTTCAGAAAACTGCTATCAGTCATAGTTTCAAGATGAAACCATAAAACTTACCACCTATCTTGCCTTAATCCCTTAAGAGACAAGAGCACTTAATAAATAATGTGATAAAAATGCATGTAGAATTAGGTTATACAGCATTTTAAAACCTCTGAGATAAGATAAATTCAAGATTATTTACTTACTCGTCTAACTTATTAGTGCTTTACTAATGTATAATTTTGCTAAACTGTTCAATGTCTCCGAATCAACTTCTTCAGCTGGTAAAAGAAGAGCTGCTTCACCCAAGAGATGGATGAAGAAATACTGTCAAAGCTGAAAACCTGTACTATTCCTAATTAAGGAAAAATACATACGTATCAATGTACCTTTAGTTATAAACTGAAGTTTATTCAATACACCTGGTAAGTGAACTTTCACCACTTGGAACAGGTATATTGATCTGAGTAAAGACCCACAATTTAGCCTTCAGTGTATTTGACACAGAAATGCTGTACATGTTGAAATGAGTACTAGATAGAACAACAGAAGTAGTGAGTTTAAGTTCCTATTCTACTATCCCAAACAGTGTGACTTGGTGGAACTATAAAATAAGCACTCGACTGCTAACCACAAAGTTAATAGCTCAAATCCACCAGCCGATCCATGGGAGAAAGATGAGGTTGTCTACTCTTAGAAAGACTTATAGTCTTGGAAAAATTATATAAAGTTGCTATGAGTAGGTATCTACCATTCATCTATCAGTTTTCCATACTGTGTTGTATGTTGTAATTCTTGAAGCTATGCTACTGGTATTTGTATTTTAAATACCAGCAGGGTCACCCATGGTGGATAGGTTTCAGATGAGCTTCCACACGAAGAAAGACTAGGAAGATGGAGAGACAGACTTCCTAAAATTTAGGAAAAAAGCCTATGAATAGCAGAGGAACACACTGTACATGGGTCAGGCAGCACCAGAATATTGTCAGATATAGTGCTGGAAAATGAGCCCTTCAGGTTGGAAGCGCTTAAAATATGACTGGGGAAAGAGCTACCTCCTCAAAGTAAAGTTAATAATGATGACAAAAATGGAGTAAAGCTTTTGGGATCTTCGTTTGCTACAGCGTACAACTCAAAATGAGGAGAAACAGCTGTAAACATCCACTAATAATCTAGGAAAATTGGAAGTTGTCATAAATGAAATGGAATGCATTCACATCGATAGTCTAAGCATTGGTCATTTAGAATATGACAACCACATGGTTTACTAGGCTGGGAATGACAAATTAAAGAGGAATAATGTCATGTTCATCATCATAAAGAACATTTCAAGATCTATTTTGAAGTACAATGCTGACTGTGATAGGACAATATCCATACACCTACAAGGAAAACCAGTTAATACCACTATTATTCAAACTTATGCACCAATCTCTAAAGTCAGTGATGATGAAATTGAAGAATTCTACCAAATTCTTCAGTCTAAAATTGATCAAACATGCAATCAAGATGTAACAGGAAGGATCAGTTGTTGGAAAATAATAGCCTTGGTGATAGACACGATGGTGGAGATTGCAGGATAGACTTTTGCAAGCCCAGTGACTTCATTGCAAATGCCTTTTTAAAACAACATAGAAGACTATATGTGTAGAAGCAATGAGTTGGGCTTCAAACTTCAAGGTCAGAAGTTTGAAACTCCCAGCTAGCTATTCCATGGGAGAAAGATGAGGCTTTTTGCTCCTGTAAAAATATACAGTCTCAGAAATCATATACAGGGTCACTATGAATCAGAACCAACTCCACGACAAATCATACTCATTAACCTCACCAGATAGAATACATATGTGGAAAGAGACAATGGAAAAGCTCCACATCATCAGCCAAAACAAGGTCAAGGGCAGACTGTGGAATAGATTATTTATTGATTGATTATATTGCAAGTTCAGCTAAAGCTGAAGTCCACAAGAGCCAAAATACGACAAACATATCTCACCTGAATTTAAAGATTGTCTCAAGAACAGATTTGGTGCATTAGACACTAAAGACTGAAGACCAAAAGAGTTGTGGGGATGACATCAAGAACATCATTTAGGAAGAAAGTAAAAGGTTATTAAGACAAGAAAGAAGAAAAGACCAAAATGGATGTTAGAAGAGACTCTGAAACTTGTTGTCCTTATGTAGAGATGCTAAAGCAAATGGAAAAAACGAAGAGGTAAAAAAACTGAACAGAAAATTTCCAAATATTATAATGAAATGTGCGAAGACCTAGAGTTAGAAAACCAAAAGGGAAGAACACACTCAGCATTTCTCAAGCTGAAAAAAATTCAAGCCTTGACTTGCCACATTGAAGGATTCTGCAGGTAAAATAATGAATGATGCAGAAAGCATCAAAAAAAGATAGAAGACAGTCATTGTACCAAAAAGAAATGGTCATTGTTCATAGGAAGAAGTCCAAGGTGCACTGCAAGCATTGACAAACCACAAAGTTCCAGAATTGATGGAATACAAAATGAAATGTTTTACAAACTAATGCAACAATGGAGGCACTCACTCATCTATGCTACGAAATTTGGAAGAGATCCACATCTGTACCTATTCCAGAGAAAAGATCCAATGGAATATGGAAATAAGTGAAAAATATCATTAGTATCCCATGAAAGTAAAATACTGTTAAAGATAATTACAATACCATTTTACAGTACATGTATAGGGTACGGCCAGAGGTTCAAGCAGATTCAGAGGAGGACTTGGAACAAGGGATATCATTGTTGACGTCAGATGGACCTTGGCACAAAGCAGAGAATTCCAGGAAGATGTTCAGCTGAGCTTTGTTGACTATGCAAAGGCTTTCAGCTGTGTGGATCATTGCAAGCTAAGGACAACATTGCAAAGAAGAGTGTATTCCAAAACATTTAATTGAGCTCCTGAGGAAACTCCATAGACCAGTCTGAACAGAAGGCAGTCATTTGAACAGAAGGAGGGCCACTAAAATAGTTTAAAATCAAGAAATGTGTGTGACAAGGTTGCTTTCTTGCACCATACTTATGCTGAGCAAATAA